CCCGCGAGACACAAATTTGTGTCTCGCTCACACCCATGTGGGTGTGGCCCCCACAAGACCCCACGCGTTCACAGTCTACATTACAGAAAAAATAAGAAGTATATAAGTACCAGCACGAGGAGTATGAAGATGGTTGTGGGAGCCCCAACATTGAGCAGGTCAAACTGAATTATGAATAATACTAACCGTTGTCGGTTTTTCTCTTTCCAAAACTACCAAAAGGTCACAGTAATTGCATAATCCCATTATCCATGTTGATTAGATGAGATATAAGACAACGGTCAAGCTTGCCAATCTCTGGTATTTTGATTGGTTGAGAGAGTATCCAAGGTCTGGCAATGATCAGTTGCTGTAGCTCTCTAGCAAAGCAACTGTCCAAGAGAAGATGCTGAGAGAATTTAAAGCAACAGTCCAAGAGAAGATGCTGAGAGAATTCAATATAGTTACAATTGTTGTTGTTGCTTTTATTCTTTATAGTGAAAATGGTGGGTATAGCACCCTCCACTGAAAATACTATGGAACAATCTATTTACACAAATATGGTACAATTTACCTGAATCTACAATTAGCTCTTCGATATATATTCTTACATGTTGTCTCAGCATCAGGTTATGCAGCAACTAGAAGCATTGGGCACTACTCTCACCCAGTAACTAACAATATCCACACAATGCCACATACGAGATTAAAGTCTCAACTGAGCTTCTCTAGTCAAGAGCCACTCTCTCAAATCTCTGAAAACAATGATGAGACTGATGGCAATGTTGCACACTCCTACGTCTCGAACAGTTTCTCAATTGGTTCATGGGATGACACAAATTCAATTGCATTTTCTTCTCCATCAAACAAAAGAGCAAAGAATAGCAGTGAAGATTTCATTAAAAGTCTCAGCCATATTGACTCACAGGTGCATTTAACATCAACTAGATTTTTATTAACAATTGCTCATTTATTGATGTATAACATAGTGTAAATATTATTCAGTTTAGCTTGCCAACAACGTCACTAGAGATGGCTGCAGTAGAGAATCTCTTCCAAGCTCAACAAGACTCGGTTGCTTTCAAAGTTAGAGCTAAGCGAGGATGTGCAACTCATCCCCGGAGCATTGCAGAAAGGGTCAGTTTATGTATTTCAAATCGATGTTCATATTTGATGTATGTTCTTTGTACCAGTAACTACTTGAAAGTACTTCCCAAATGTGTTGCACTTTTTGCAATTCCAGCTGTGTCACAATTAGCATACACTGGTATTTATTTACTTTTTTGATGATTATGGTAACTGCAGTGCATTATTTATCATCAAGCATCTATCTGCCATCTCAAGTAACACGTTGAATATTTTGTTTCCATTATAGGAAAGGAGAACAAGAATCAGTGAGAAGTTAAGAAAGCTTCAAGAACTTGTACCTAACATGGACAAGGTAAGAAAGCACATGACTAAAGCTGACCATCTAATTTATCAATTAGTTGTTGCTAGGCAGTCATTTATCTTAATTCATACACATTCTTTCTACTCTTTATTAAACGTTATTTATGCTTGAACATTGAGCAAATAGTGACGATGTTCCCCCCCGCCCCCCCCCCGCCCCCCGCCCGCCGCCCCCCCGCCCCCCGCCGTTCCGCCGCCCCACGCCCCCCCCTGCAAAAAAAAAAAAATAAAAAAATAAAAAATAATAATTGCACTCTCGTATGTATTTTACAGCAAACAAGCACAGCAGACATGTTGGATTTGGCAGTTCAGCACATAAAAGAGCTGCAGAGCCAGGTTCAGGTTTGTACTAGTGTTGTTTGTCTCCTTTTTATGATTTATTAGTTGTATTTATAGTTGGATATCAGCTATTTACCTACTTATGAAAAGAGCTAATTTGAGTCAACCTCGGAGAACTTTGGAAAATGAAACTCTCAGATTACATGTTTATGTTGACCAGATTATTTATATTATGGCCGTCATTTGTTTTATCTTTAACAGTTTAACTTCTGGACATTAAGTATGCTGCATATGCATCAAGCAGTTGCAAAAAGTGGACGTGGCACAGCAAGTCAACTAGATTTATGACAATCTCCAACCTTATCGAATTTGACATTAAATTCACTATATTTGCTCCTTTGCTAAATAGGATTCAAATTGAAAATTAGAAGGCAGTTTACATGCACATGGTTATTTCTATTAATATCCAACAGTGAAGTATGGGAAGTTCGCATCTTATCTGTTTCTGTTGGATACATGTTGTGTGTATTCACTTAACGATGATATGACATTTGGATTGTTATTAACATTTCATCTGAGATTTAACCTTTTGTTTCTAGTCACTTAATGATGATATTTCAAATCGTCCAGAATCTTAATCAGGAGCAAGCAAACTGCACATGTGAATGCAAGAAGGAACTTCCCTGAGATAAAAACTTGCATTTATGTAAAGAAGAATCTCCCATTACTGATATTCATGGAGAGGAAGGAAGGTATCAGTTTTCAGTTGTCCTGATCTTTCACGGTGCCTACACAAAAACAAGTAGCAGTTTTGTGAATGCCGATATCTTAATTATTGATATCCATTCAAAGATTTCATGAAACATGGAGTCTCATATTCATTCAAAGATATATGATGTTCTAAAGTCTTACCTCGTTTGAGATCTTATGTAAGATGTGATCATTCATTCTCGCTTCTCTAGTTTGCGATGTAGAAAGCATTAACTTTGTAATAAAACGGGGAATGTGGTATTTTTACGAGGATATGAACCTGCAATCATATGCTAAATCTCATTTTGCACATTAAGATCGGATATGTCTTTTAATTCACTGATGAGAGCTTGATGAAGATCTATAGGATCCAGTGATCTTGGTGTATTTTCTTTGTTTATCTTGATCATTAGACTAGGTGAACTTTTGTTTTCTTTAAATGAGTTTGAAGTAATTCTGCTAGAGTTAACTTCTGTAGCCATGAAGTGATTGATCGTTCTTTTATGGAAGTGAAATGGTGAACAAATTACAGATACAGTTGCATATACTAGCTTCATCTCTCTAAAGATTTTGATCATTAAAAAAAATGGTGAACAAATTAGAGATGCAGTTACATATACTAGCTTCATTTCTCTAAAGATTTTGATCATTAAAAAAAATGGAGCTTATCTTTTACTTTGGTTACAACTTACAAGAAGGGTGATATATATGTAGCTTGTTCTTTGGTGCTTGGTTTAAAATTTGTTAGGATGGATCATATAAATATAGATGGTGGGTATCTGCTATTTACAAATATGAACAGTTTTTGCAAATATCAACATATCTTGTTGAATTGAAGCTTACACTGAGATCGATCTACTCTTACCAAAAGGTGTTGGGTTATTAACAGCATTGATCGTCAGAAAATTTATCTGGTAATATCTAAACTCAGGGGTGGTAAATTACAATAGGTCTATAGTACGCAGAGGATTTATCTACAAGTATAACATTTTTGATAAAATAATCATTCCCCTCTTAAAGTATTGGTGAATTCTCATGTTGTCTCCTTAAATTTTAATTTACCTAGGCCCATCCTTAAAGTATGTACATGTGTCAAATGTGATCATTTGTGAGCATACAGTCAAATATTTAACATATTAATGATGTGATAGTTTTTTTTTTCACAATCTGAAAAATAAGTTTTTAATTCATAGAAAGAGTTAGAGGGTAAAAAGCCTTGGGAGAAAGTAGTTAAAAAATATATTGTTTGTTTGGAGAAAAAAGAGATAAACCGGTAAAAGCCCATAAAGAAATACAAGTACGTCATTATACTGTTAAATATTTGACTATAGACTTATAAAATAATCACATTGAAACCATAAACATAGTTTAAAAGGCAAAATAGTAAATTGATACTTTAGGCCCCGTTTGGCAAAGGGTTAATGAAGAGGGGTTAAAGAGAAGGATTAATGTACTTAGCCCATTTGATAATCTGAAGGACTAAATTATTAACCTGTTAAATAAGTTTTATTTTATCCCTTGTGATCAGTTTTAGTGTTTGGGAATAACATTGATTTTTACTATTTTCTTTATAATTAGAAGGGTTAACTCTTATTAATTCCATCTAAATAGGAGTATTAGTAAACCCCTCATTTTAAGGGGTTAACTCATTTTAATCCCTCTAGAGGGGTTAACTTAACCCTTCTATATTTTTTATGTTTGGCAAATAACTCATTTTAATCCCTCTAGAGGGGTTAACTTAACCCTTCTATATTTTTTATGTTTGGCAAATTATGGAGGGTTAACTCACTTTAACCCTTATATAGATTTGTTGTGTTTGGCAGGTTAAGAAGGGGTTAAGTCTCCTTAACCCCTCACTTAACCCTTTGCCAAACGGTACCTTAGGTAGTAACTTGAGAGTTCAAGAATATTTTGAAGGGGAAATGATCATTTTATCTTTAACAATTTTATTTTAACAATGTGTCTCTCTGTATTTCTTACCTTGCTCTTTGTTACGAAAATTGAGAATGCACCTAAATGTTGTCAAATTCCAAAGAAAAAAAAAACATTATCGCTAACAAAAATCACTGCAACGTATAGCCAACGGCAATTTGTTATTGCAAAATAATCTTACATTTAAAGTTGCACTCACCTTTCAACCGAGAATAGGCACAAAGTTTAATTGAATAGGTATTATATACTATCCATATATAGACAACAAATCTTCTATAAGCAACAAAATATGAACTGATTAACTCTGAAACAGACCAAACAAAATGCCATACCTCCCTTATTTCCTCTCACATGAATCATGACCCAACTCTATCAAGATTATCGGAAACGGTCTTCATCCTTGGCCTCACCTCAGGATCAGACTCAGTGCACGCAAGTGCAATATGAAACACTGATATAATCTCCTTCTTAGCGTGCACATCTTTATGCAGTATCGGATCCACCATTTCCGATAGCGGGTTCGCATCCTCGAAC